AGCCAGGGTGACACTGGTGAAAGTCTATTGAGTTATTTCTTATTTCTCCTATCCATTTGCAGATTAAATAAAGATTAGAAGTTTTTATTATATTTTTTCAATTGAAAAAGAAAACAGGGGGCACAAAGTTTGAATCTATTAACACACAACAAAGAGGGTCTTAATAAGTGAGAACTATCGGTCCTCCTCAAACTTATAAATAATCATGCTTGTAATTCATACTATAAAGATGGTTGAAAAAGGAAAAACACACAGGAGCCTCTTTTCAAACAACTGTTTCTAAAGCCTAATTACTGAAATCTTGTCAATAAAACGTATCATTTCTAGCATGCCCACTTCAATCTTTGTTTACATACTTTTGAGGTCTCATCTTCCAGCAGCATAAATGAAAGCATAAACCACTTTAATCTGATGAGTAGTAGCATAATATTAAACCCCTATCCACCGAGGTTCTAAAATGAAAAGGGCTATGTTAAAAATAAGATCTCCTCATATTTATATTTCATGTTTTTGAAAGAAAGAAGTTAAGTTTATTTGATGCACAGTCTGGGAGAATTTTTTTAAAAAGAACTTTCTAAAACAATCTTACAGATTGCTTATATGTAGATAGACTAAAACCATTACAAAGTGAATTCCAAAGAAGACTGACTGAACTAAACTGACTACACACAGGTAGGAGCAAGGCAGTAATATTATGGCACGGTGTAGAAAAAATAATTTGTTAAAAAGACTATGCACATAGAATATGCCATGTTAGCAACTACTATAAGCAAAGAGAACTACAACACACAAAACTACCAAAGGAAAATAAAAAGAATAAAAGACACTTTATATATCAACACCAGTTACATTTCAACTGCTACTAAATATCTGCGAAACAGCTCCAACTCTAAATGACAAAGAGAGTTGGGATTAGGGGAGGTGAGGAAGACTAAGGTACTGAAAACCAATTCTTCAAATAAATGTAAGTTAAACAACTTTGCTTTCTCTATGTAAATACCAAGGCATATTATAATACAAATTAACACCACTGATGACTTGTTCAGAAGTGAATACAACATCCACTTACAGATTTTAGTTTTAATTTACAGATATGAAAATTTGATGAATTTCCATATCTTAAAATGTTCATTTCGAAACATCGATAATTAGGAAGCCAGTAAAAGGCATGTATTTTGATAAAACTGGATCCTATCAGATCGACAGTTTTAGTTTCATGGTGCAACTATTCTTACAGACACAAATTGCTACCTACCTGCATCAACATTCTCAATTCTCAGTCTCTTGTTGAAATTATGTTACAATCTAAATATTTCATTAAAAAATTAGAAACTACTTGGAAATCTACAGATTACGTCCACAGAACTCTCAAAATACTGTCGCTTAGGTAGTAAAGACAAAATTTTCAAATATTTCAGAATTAGCATATACGCGTGGACGGTACTGCATAACCATATTTGGATTTATTGCGACAGTGTCATGGACTTTGAAAACTTGAGGTGTGAAGATCTTTTCCAAACTTTTGAAATTATTTCTTCAAAAATCCCCACATCTGAAAAGAATGCATACGGCAATAATTTTCAAAATAGTTCAAATTATCTGAAAACCTCGCGAATAACCGAATTGCTTGACACTATGCTCCATAGAAAAGATCCTACCAATATCATTCAAGTACTATCAACTCCGAATAATTTTCTAGCCACATAATTATTTTAACCTATTTAGAAAGAGATAATGCCAAACAACAGATCCTCTCCTTTCATTCCACATTCCTCGGTTTCTGATAGTTGCCAAAACCACCTACTTAGGAAATGTGAAGTTGAAAAAGTAGCACTCCTCAACTCTCAGTCGTTATCACTGCCAAGAAATAAGCATGACCAAATACAACCAAAAGTAAGATACGTTTCCCTACCAAGTGTGGAATGCATAAAGAGTGAGCCTCTAAATTTAAAACCATATTCCAGCACCTTTTCATCGCATACAAATGCGAATACCACGCAAGGGTTCACAAGCCCACCTCAATGGCCGCGGTTCAGTCTT